TGACTATGAGGCTACCTGGGCACATTTACTGCTTGGACTCACACCTGAAGAAAGGCCAAAAGGGCAAGGTACCAGGAAGGTGCCAGGTTCCCACAGTATGAGCAGAACAGGAGGGAGGAGAAGTGTTCAAACAAAAATGTTTGTGTCTCCTACCTCCCAGCTCTGAAAATATATTCGCCCCCATGACAGGGTTTCTGATTTAGCCCATCGTTGATTTAGCTACAGTCCTGTACCGGAAAGGGTTCAATTCAATGTGGAACAAACCGAACACCATCTTTGACAGTGAGAAGATGATTTCCTTTTGTAACTAATTTAACTAATTTTATACAATCCAAGATTTGACAATTAAAGAGTGTGCTTCACTGGATAGAGTTAAAACTTCTTAAATAAGGGAACGCAGAACACGGAAATGGCCGTGGAGACAGGTCAGCTAGAGTTGTGACCCCTGGATTGTGAGGGGTTTGCAGCCTGGCTCGTGGACACACAATGGCTTTGTTAAATCCACGTCTCAACTCTCATTCTTTTCCCATGAAGTCATTTATATAACCCCGAAGAACATCATTCCTTCAGCAGTTACCATGGAAATATGCCCAGCGCTCCCATTCCCCCCCCCCCCCAATCCCCGCAGACAGTCAGTAGGCTGATATACACTTGGAGTGCGTCACAGAATGTGGGTTTGAATCTGTGAGCAGCTGCACATTCCTGCCAGCGAGCTCGCTGACAATCCTCTAGCTCACTCCTGAGCCTGGTCTTATACAGCTAACTGCAGCCTCCTGTACCCAAACATGCAACTCACTGTACCCGCTTTGTGCAGCCAACTGCAACTGCCCTGTACCCAAACATTTCAACTGCCCTGTACCCAAACATACAACTGCCCTGTACCCAAACATACAACTGCCCTGTAGCCAGATTTCTACAGCTCACTGCAACCACCTTGTATCCAACAGCAACAACAAATGACATTTACACAGTGCCTTTCGATGTCGGGAGGACATCCCAAGGCACTGGACAGTCAGGGATTTGGACCCGAGCTGGGGGTTGGTTGGGATCAGGAGGGATGGAGGACAAGAAGGTTTAGTGGTAGGGGGGTGACCGAAGGCGAGGTCGAAGAGGAGGGTCTTGAGATGGGTAGTTTATATAACTTACCACAACTGCCCTTTACCCAAGCTTCAACCCTTCACTAAAGCTGCTCTATCTCAGACGGCCTAGGGCAGCTGCTACCACTCCTCTGTCCTTTGGCTCAGGAAGCCCTCTATCTGGGGTCAGTGGATGAGTCATTCACCATCCTCACAACTTCTGCCCTCATCAATGTATTAGCCTTCAGGGCTAATGCAGGGTACATTAGGCGAATATGCCAGACTCATTGGCAGTGTAGAATATAGTGCATAAGTGCACCAACCCTCAGTGCCAATGATGGAAAAGCAATTGGCTGCTGTGTTTCGTCCACAAAATATTCAGTCAATTCACTTTACAGTAGTGTACTGTGAAGTGCTTTGAGCCATCTCAAAGATGAAATAAGGCCCTATATCAAATGCAAAGATTATTATTGTCAATATCAGTGCCTTCATTGGAGGGGGAGGGGGTGACATAATAATAATAATAATAATAATAATAATAATAATAATAATAATAATAATCCTTGCATTTTGATATAGCGCTTTTCACGTCGGGAGGACATCCCAAAGCGCTTCACAGAACACACTGTAAAGTGAATTAACTGTATATTTGTGGGCGAACGCGGCAGCCAATTGCGCACAGAAATGTCCCACAAACAGTCGTAGATTGAAAATGACCAATTTATTATTGTTTTTGGTTTTGGAGGGATTATTATTACGCTCTGTGTGGAGTAAGGAAACTTGCCCGAGGTTTCGCCCTCTGCCTGGAATTGAACTCAGGTCTCTCGCTTGCAAAGTGGTGCTCTAACCACTGAGCTACAGGACATAGTAGTGCTATGTGGACAACTTTCTACACCGTTTTATTTGGGCCACTGTTGTAACTATCTTACATCACTGCAGCCTCTACACCCACCAAGTGCTAATTGCATGATAGCTATCTCTGTGGCAACCAGAAATGTCAGCGAGGATAATTTTTTTGTGTTGATGTATTTTTAAACATAGTCAGCTCTGTGCAATTGTTGGAACAAGTGAAAGCATTTCCTCAAATTTTCTACCAGAATGCAAATTTTGATATGACTAATATATTTCCAAAGTTTGGAAACTTTGTGTGTACAACAAAAATTTAATTTGGGAAACTGATGGGATTTAATATTTGTTGTGAAGTCAAATTCTTTAGGATGTTAGGATCCTAAGGTACACTTTTGAGGGCAATCTACAAAGAGTTTTACTTTGCACCCAACTTGTGCTATAGTTACATTGGAACATAGCACAACAACAACAACAAAAGTACATTTGTACAGCGCCTTTCACGTTGGGAGGATGACCCAAGGTGCTGGACCCCAGCTGGGGGTCGGGATCGGGGTGGGTAGAGAGTAGGGGTTGAAAGGAGGGTGATTGAAGGCACGGTTGAAGAGGAGGGTCTTGAGATGGGTCTTGAAGGAGGCGAGGGAGGGGGCGAGTCGGAGAGACTGTGGGATGGAGTTCCAGAGGGTGGGGGCAGAGTGACTGAATTCCCGCCTGCCAATAGTGCGGCGGGCGAGGCAGGGGACAGGAAACAGACCTGAAAACATTTAACTCAAATGGCCTGCCCCAATTTCAAATATAATAAGAATAATAAAAATCCTTGCATTTGATATAGCGCCTTATCGCGTTGTTGAGATGTCGTAAAGTGCTTCACAGAATGTACACAGAATGTGATTTTCTGGGCGAATATCATATCTCGTTATCTCACAAATCTCACATTCTCACCATTAAAGATGTTTCCAATTCCCCCTTGGAATTGCCTCTATATGCCTCTACACTACAAAAGTGTAGCGACTGTGCATGTGTGGGCAAAAACATTCTGTTAACTTCCAAGATAATATTCAGCGCCTTGGGACGTCCTCCCGACATGAAAGGCGCTTTATAAATGTAATTTTGTTGTTGGTGTGGTTGTTGTTGCTGCCAAATTTGCCGCTGAATGCACCCTCTTTCCCTCCCTGCGATGTGATCCGATGAAATTGAATATATAAAACATTACAAAGTAGGTTATTAAACTCCGGCACACTGCATCCACAGATGACACTTCCGCGATCCCAGCATCGCTCTTCATCATCTTTAACAGATTCTTAAAAGCGGCAATTTTAGTCCCGATATCGGAAATGTTTCTTTGAACAAAACCTAATGAACAGCTGGAATGGGTGGGTTACCGGTAAAGGTGGTAAAGAATTCTGAAATGCTGTCATGGGAAGTATAAGGATAAGATGAAATGGTCCTTTATTCATCTGAGAGGCTATTTTGTTACCTTGCTCCATACTTTAAGACGTTTGGACCAGCGTTTACTCGGATTATATTTCCTTTTAAAAGGATTTGATTGACACAGAGGATATGGATGGAGGTCTATCGTGGATGGTAGGGCTGTGCTGTCGTTTCATCCCCAAAGTGTACAGTCAATTTACTTTACAGTATATCCTGTGAAGCGCTGGGAGATGTCTCAAAACGACGTGACGTGATAAGGCGCTATATCAAATGCAATTATTATTGATAATATTATTACCGTTGTATCAAATGCAATCGTTATTGATAATATTATTACCGTTATATCAAACGCAAGGATTATTATTATCATCAAATTCTAAGGAAAAAAAACATTTAAAAAAATGTAAGACACCCGCCCCCCCCCCCCCCACACCCCCCAAACCGCTTTGCTTTGTAACGCACAGTCACAAGGAAAACCCGCCCAATCTTGGGCGGGAACCCGCCCAATCCGGCCTCATTGGGCGGGGCGGAGTGTGTGTGTGTGTGGGTGTGTGGGGGCGGGGCGTGTCGAGTGACGCGTACCGAATGACGTAGAAGGGGAGAGGGAATGGGAGCCAATGGGGTGCGCTCGCTCGCTCGCTGGCGTGCGCGCGCGCTTGCGCTTGCGCACTGGGCGTTCGGTCCGCGCGCGCGCGCGAGCGAGGAGGAGGAGGAGGAGGCGGAGAGGACGGGAGAGCGCGTAACGGCCGCCGCTCGTTTGGAAGTCAGCGCGAGAGGGAGAGGCCGAGCCGAGCCGAGTGAGGGCCGAGAGCGCTCTCTCACACACGCACACACACACACACACAAAGGGAGCTCGACAGGGCTCCGCCCGACAGACAGCCATGAAACCCCGCTGACAGGTCCGCCTTTATATATATATAATACATATATATATATATATTCCCCACCACACTCACACCGCCCCACCCCCTCCCGGGAGCGGGGGAGAAAGGAGGAGAGAGAGAGAGAGAAGAGAGAGAGAGAGAGAGAAAGAAAATGAAACCTCTTCATTCATTTTGTGTCGTGTAGGCCTGAGGGAGGGAGGGAGGCGGCGGCTGAGGTAATTAATGCGGCGTTTTGAGGGAGGGAGTGAGTGAGAGAGATAGAGAGAGGGAGTGAGAGAGAGAGGGAGTGAGAGAGAGAGGGAGTGAGAGAGGGAGTGAGAGAAAGAGAGGGAGAGAGTGAGAGAAAGGGGGGGGGGACCGGGGTCAGGACAGCAAAAGCAAAGCAGGATCTGTTGAAACATTTTTTTTCGTGGTGGTGAGGAGAGAGAGAGGGAGGGAGAGAGAGAGAGGGAGGGAGAGAGAGAGAGAGAGAGAGGGAGGGAGGGAGGGAGGGAGAGAGAGAGAGAGAGAGAGGGAGGGAGGGAGAGAAAGAATTATAAACCGGATTTAAATCCTCTCTTCTTTTTCTTCTCTGAGAGAGGAGGAACAAAAAGAATCCCTCCTTCCGCCGTGTGTGTGTGTGGGATAATTATTTTTTTTTATTTGATGGATATATTTGGAAGGTAGTGGTATTCGGAGGGTTTGAGGTTTTCTCTCTTTTTCTCCCTCTCTCTCTCTCCGGCTCTTTCCCTTTTATTTATTTATATATATTATATAGATATATATATATATATCTATATATTATACCAAATTTTGTTTTTTGGTCATGGTGGATGTGGATTTTCGTGGCTGTAGTGCATCGGGAGAAAGCGGCGGCGGCAGCAGGCGAAGGATGCTGGAGGTGCCTGACTCTGACTGTCCCGAGATTGTACCTCTGGAGCTGTACGACTCGTCCAGGGCCAAAATAGCAGCAAACCTGTCTTGGATCTTCTCGAAGGCTTACGGAATAGGTAAGCCAGAAAGAGCGAGCCGGCGTCCGTGCTGTCGGCCAGAAGGTGCGGAAACGCAACGGAGGCCGCACAAAAAAAAAAAACCCGCGCGACAAGATTGTGGCTGTGATTTGAGCCTTTGAGAAATTAACGGACGCTTATGTTAATGATGATGATGATAATTGCATTTGCTACAGCGCCTTATCACGTCGTTGAGAGGTCTCGAAGTGCTTCACAGGATATATTGTAAAGTGGATTGACTGTATTTTCTGGGCGTAACGCGGCAGCCAATTGCGCACAGCAATGTCCCACAAACAGTTGTGGAGTGAGTGACCAATTTTTTTTTACACATGGGATAAAACCAGTATTGATAAACCACACATCTGTGTACCAGAAGTTTGTTTTAAATCACTATGTAATATTGTGCGAAAGATCAATGTTTTTGCGGGATCTGGGAAGGAACTAATTAATGCCATTTTGTACCCTTAAATTTGGTCTAGAGGATTGAAATAAATATTGCAACTGACATGCTTTGAACACGCCTAAAATAAATCAAAATGATATGTTTTGAAGCATTTGAGTTCTAAAAAGAAAGCAGTTTATTTTGAAGTACTTGGAACGTTTTGATTGTTGATTTTTCAGTTTTCTATTGAGATTTTAGGATGTGCAGTTGTAACCCCCAAAATAATGTCTCTATGAGCAGATCATAAATCTTATACAGTATTTGAGAGAAACGATTGATTCCAGATCTTGAATCATTCATTGTTTGACTGCAAAACTCAGCAAACTTTGCATTAGCATCTTTACAATATTTTTCTTTTGGGTTGTACTGAAGCTGCTGAATGTGGGTTTTTCTCTAGAAAAATAACTGAGGATGCATTAAAAGCAAAATGGCCAAAGGTTTTAAAGAATGGGTATAAACGTGCTGATAACTACATTAATAATAATAGTAATCCTTGCGTTTGATACAGCGCCTTATCATGTATTCGAGAAGTCTCAAAGCGCTTCACAGAATAGTAACCAACATTAGCAAATCAAATATGCAGAGATTGAGTGATGATTTGAAATTTATGAAATTCACCCCCTTCCATGTGTAAGGATGCATGGAATTGTCAGTTTGGTTTGGATACTCTTAAGCATGGTGATGGGTTTCCACATGTGTCAGACACCTGGCTGACTCCCAAAAAACCCTGTGAAGTGCCATGAAACACTAATAACTAGTGGAAATAGCCCACATTATTCTTAATAATGCCTTGGATCTAGGGGAATTGAAAATGAGTATTAAATTATTGATTTCATTGTTAAACAGGTAAACTGAAATACGGAATAATATGGCTAAGGAAAATATTTTCACTCCATAAAAACATTCCTTACAAATAAGTGAACAAATTAGGGTTTTTGTAGCAAGAGAAATCTGGGCTTTGCCAATGGGGTTATAATCAGTAATATAGATTAATGCTACGCTTGAATAGAACTTGAATAGCATTATGTTGTGTACAGTAGACCTCTGTTTCACAGATTTGAAAATTAGTTAATGACGGTTCACTATGAAAACAATCACAAGCATAGATGGGTTGCTGTTGAACTAGAATTGAATTTACGAAGCTCATTACAAGAAAAATTTGAAAGGGGGGAAAGAAGATGCCCTTTTAATCAGTTCTGGAATGATATTACTAAAAATTTAGCTGCACTGTAGTTTCATTCTGGAAGATGCAGTAACTCTGGTTATGGAATGTGCCACATCATCAAACAGGAAGGAGAATTAGAACAGATGCTAAAGTTTTTTTAAATAAAGATAATAGACTGTTGCTTTGAAGATTTATTTCAACAAAGCAATACAATGAGAATATATTACCTTTGTTCATTGAGGCTTGCATTATTTTGAAATTTACTGTGTGCTATGAGCACCAATTTTTAGTTCAGTTATATCCGCTTTCCTTGCTATTTAGACTAAGCGTAAGATTGTATCTGATTTATTTTAGTTTAAACATGCGTTGGCAGTGGTATAACAGTGCCACAAATAGTTTAAAAGTCTAATCACTGGACTGTGATGCTGGTTGCAAATTATCTTCCAAGACTAATTTCTCACTATGGTTTTCTCATGTGGGGTGGATGGAGAGCAGGAAGAGAATGACTGATAAATATTGAACACATGCCTTCCACCAACAGCTGACTTGTGGACAGCTTTGACTGTTGCAGGTCAAAGCAGAAAATATTTAAAAAATCTAAAAATCGTGATCCATGTTTTTCATTCTCTACCTTGCTGATAGATGCCTTCATTTCTGGTGTGGAAATACTTAGAAGTTTTGCCAAGAACTGCATTCCTGAAGAGTCTCTGGTACTTTCTGTTAAAATATCCTGTCTCAATTTGGAAAGAAAAATTACAGGGATCTTAGTTTCGGAGAAGCTCTGTAATGACATAATGAAGGGGGAATAAGAAATGAGATGAATATGTAAATATGAGTTGTGTTTCTCTTAAAATCATTGCCATGGTGGAGTTCTGTAGCTTAGTGGTTAGCGCACTCACCTCGCAAGCAAGAGGGCTTGAGTTCGATTCCCGGGCAGGGCAAAGCATTGGGTAAGTTTCCTTACTCCACATGCCTCTGTTTACCTAGCAGTAAATAAGTTAGTCGATTGGTCCACAAAATATACAGTCAATTCATTTTTGCAGTATATTCTGGGAAGCGCTTTGAGATGTATCGAAGGCTTGATAAGGCTCTATATTAAATGCAAGGATTATTATTATAATTTGTACTTTTATTTGTTTTTGTGGTAATTGGCTATCTCCTCCAGATTTGGAACAGAAATGGGGGGTCTGTCTCTACTCTTTGCAAGAAACAAGCTGGGAAGAAACGGGTGGCAGATAATTGAATGTTGCTTGGATCATTTCAAATTAATAAATCGAAACTCAAACTATGAAATGGGTTAGAAGTTTCTCTTTAAAAAAATTCAATTTGTCTTTCTTCAATAGAATGACCTTTTTTGTCCTTTGCCCTGTTCTCAAGCTGTTTCCTTTTTAATCACTTTTCATTACTTAAATATTTGTGGTGCTTAGTTTTTAATACCATGAACGGATTTTGAGACAATTTCTCTTTGAGGAAGGATTATATCAGATTTTAGTACCCTCTTAGTTTTACTTTTTATGCCATTAAGTTGTAAGTATTTTCATATTTTGGTCATCCAGCATTGGTATCATATATTTCCAAGATTTTTTTAAATGTTAGCCTGGCTCAGTTGGAAGCACTCTTTAAGCTCTACTTGAGGCCTTCAAGCTAATAGTCTAATGCAGTGCTAGGTAGGGCTGTATTGTTGGAGGTGATGTTCTTCAGATGAGATGCTAAATTGAGATCCCATTTGTCTGTTCAGGTGGATGCTAAAATAATAATTATTATTTTCAATCTCACTCTATTCTGCTTCATTAATGGGCTCCAGCTCCAACTGCAGAACTGCATCCTCTACATCACCAGTATGTCATATTCTCTTCCCACACCAGTCACCATCTGGTTCCTCTGAGTAAGATTGTAGAGTGCTGAGAGCTCATATTTGCTTGGAGCTGCCTTGAGACTGCCAAATCTCATTACATGCAGATCTTTAGTTAGCAGACAGAGCAAACTTTCCCCCTATTGGGCTGGATTCAAACCTAGATCCCAGGAGTAAAAAGCCAGCATACAAACCAACTACACCATTCAGTCTCCCTAACCCTTTTAAATATGACAGCTGCAAATTCTTAATTACTGGAAACCATGAATTGCCTAAAATAATTAGGATTGACTATTGTTGTGAGTCATGAATGATGATGACGATGATCCTTGCATTGAATATGTGTAATTGGCTCCCTTTACTCCCTTTAACCCTCAGAGCATTTTAACTTGTCTTTACTGGTGTTAATGTAATGCATAGTTTTAAGATAATTTGAACACAAGTGGAACGCTAATGTTATATATGTGCTTTGTGGAGTCCTGTAGCTCAGTGGTTAGAGCACTCGCTTTGCAAGTGAGAGACCTGAGTTCAATTCCAGGCAGGTCAGGGCGAAACCTTGGGCAAGTTTCCTTACTCCACACAGAGCCTAATAATAATCCCTCCAAAAACATTAATTAAATTAGTCATTTTCAATCTACGACTGTTTGTGGGACATTGCTGTGCGCAATTGGCTGCCGCGTTCGCTCACAAATATACAGTCAATTCACTTTACAGTGTGTTCTGTGAAGCGCTTTGGGACGTCCTCCCGACATGAAAAGCGCTATATCAAATGCAAGGATTATTATTATTACTATTTGCTTTACCAGTTTCCGTGTGTACTCAATCCACTTTGCATATAAAAAAGTGTTGAAATAACAGAAAAACTTGCAATGAATATGATAAATTTTATATATAGTTTTTTTTATCGCGGTAACCCTATTATTGCTGTACCGTTTGGTTAGGCACATAATGATACAGGGCGAAAAAGTGATTTAAAGCACATTTTCCCTGGTCCAGTATTCATTCTCCTTAAACTGAATATTCACATTGATAAGATACAGTGAAATACATGACTGGTGAATCAGCTGGCCAACTACCAGCTTGGCTCAGTTGCCGGTGCTTTTGCCTCTTAGTCAGAAGATTGTGGGTTCAAGCCACAACATGTTCTAGGCTGGCACTTCAGTGCAGTACTGGAGGAGTGCTGCATCATCAGAGATTATGTCCTTTTGTTGAAATGTTAATCTGAGATCACTTCTGCATGATCAGATGGATGTTCATTTCATTCCTTGGCACCTTTTTGAAAAAGAGAAGGTAGTTTTTCTTGGTGTCCACCAGATAAAATTGGTTAATTGATGGTTGTTTGTGGGACTTGCAGTGTGGAAATTGGCTGCTGCTTTGCAGCAAGCTTTAGCTAAGCAGCTCTGTAGCTGTTGGTGAATGTTTTCAAATAAAAATACTTCCTCTATTATATCCCGTTCTCAAATGGAGGTACTTCTTGTGAGAGATTCTTCTGCTAGTTTTCCCGAGGGAAACTAAGGTTAAAATATTCCTCCTCCATTTTG